ACTTCTGTTGAACACCTCACAGTAATAAATTTTAAAACTTTTATTGAGTGTCTACTAATGCCAGCAGGTTAGGAGCTTATTAGCAGGTTATTCCAGCTGATCCTTACGGCAACCCTCTGGAGGTATATTACCTCTGTCTAAGGAACCTGAGGCTCAGAATTTCAGCATTAGCTATTGTCCACATAGCTACTACATGGCAAAACAGTATTTGAAGCCAAAGTCAATGCCACTGTCAGTACATTGTGGCTGCCTCCATAAAGCTGAAAAAATAACTGGGACAAAGCACAGTCACCAGTAGTATAGCTTATTTTGTTTGTTTGTTTTAATATTTAATAGTTCCTTAAAATCTACAACAATATAGCTATATACTTAAGTTACTCTGTAATAATCATCACCTTCTTACATACATTTAGTACAAATCCATCTGGCACTAGGTTTTATGATTCTCAGTACAGCAAAAAACATACAAAAGACAGAACTGCCACCTGTAAAGCCACACCACGTCACTGAGAAATACTCACCTTTGAGAAGTGCAACCGAGAGCTGGTCAGTGTTGAGGTCATTGACATATTTCCCCAAATAGGTATTGAGAACCCAGGCTACAAGGCCTTCCAACATGACTATATCCTCAGGAAAAGCTGTTTAGAAATCATGGATCATTCTTTATTTCTTTCATGGTCACAGAAGAATCTATGAAAGGAAAAAAATGAAACTCAACAGAAAAACCGGATGATTTTCTAAGCTGATTTCCTATTCTACCTGCATGAAGGCAGATGAATGCAAAGCAAAGATGTGCTGCTGTTGTTGTTCTGAGACGGTCTCACTCTTGTTGCCCAGGCTGGAGAGCAATGGCACGATCTCGGCTCACTGCAACCTCTGCCTCCGGAGTTCCGGTGATTCTCCTCCCTCAGCCTCCCGAGTAGCTGGGATGATAGGTGTCCACCACCATACCCAGCTGATTTTTTGTATTTTTGGTAGAGATGGGTTTCACCATATTGGCCAGGCTGGTCTCAAACTCCTGACCTCAGGTGATCCACCACCTCAGCCTCCCAAAGTGCTGGGATTTGCAGGTGTGAGCCACTGTGCCCGGCCACAGATGTTTTAAAAGATGAGGCAAGAAGCTCTGTAAGATGCCCCCATCAGTAACTGGAGGGCCAAACCAATACATCTACATTTTGATGCTGCTTCAGGGAATAGTCACTCTTAAATTTACCAAAAATTACCTACAATTCAAAGCTGTCTATCTTTTCCGTGTAACTGCCCACTGCTTGTTTATGGTGATTTACCTTGGGATTAGACTGCCCTGATCACGGGTTCTCATATGGGCATAATTCAGTAATGTCTGGAGACATACTTGATCATGACTTAGGGGCTGCTTCTGGCATCTTACGGGTAAAGACCACAGAAGCTGCTAAACCTACAATGCACAAGACAGCTCCCATAGCAAAGACTTATCCAACCCAAATGTCAACAGAGCCGATGTTAAGAAACTTTATCCTAGATTGAGACAAAAAATGCCCTAAGAGATTGTCTGAATGAAATTCATGAAAGAGGCCAGGTGCAGTGGCTCACACCTGTAATCCCAGCCCTCTGGAAAGCCGAGGTGGGCAGATCACCTGAGGTCAGGAGTTCGAGACCAGCCTGGCCAACATAGTAAAACCCCATCTCTACCAAAAAAAACAAAAATTAGCTGGGCATGGTGGCACATGCCTGTAATCCCACCTACTCGGAAGGCTGAGGCAGGAGAATCGCTTGAATCTGGGAGGTGGAGGTTGCGGTGAGCTGACATCATGCCATTGCACTCCAGCCTGGGTGACAGAGTGAGACTCCATATCAAAAAAGAAAAAGAAAAAGAAATTCATTCATTAAAGAAAGCTGAATATCTGCAGGCACTTTCTCACTAAAATAAAAATACAAAGAAAAAAAAAGAAACCTGAATAAAGTTGGGGAGGGTAGGCAGTTCATTCTTTAATGAACCTCAGGTCACCCAAATTAAATGTTTCAAATTTGTTCATGTGGATCACTCATTATATAAAATAATACACATGGGAGTATTATAATACAGACAGCATGCTTTATCACTGTTCTTAAATGTCCTGAACTGTATTACTGGTACCTGGGCATCAGATGATGCTGATATAATAAACAATCTTAGGTAATTATCACAAACTACAAACTCCAGAAATCCTCTGGCTCCAGCCACAGTATTTAGACTTGGTAGGTACTATCACCTGTTCTAATAACTGGTGTTTACCAGTATTACCAAAAAAAAAAAAAAAAAGGATTAATTTTAGTATTACAAAAAGTCAACATTAGGGAAATTGTGACACAAAAGTTTAACAGTGTTCTCAGATTGCTCAGCAAGAAGATCCCAGTGGAAACAGCCTCAAGTCTTGCTCTGATCTACCACGTTGGTCATCAGCCACCCTGCCAGACACTACAGATTTGCCATGGCAGGCATCCCACTGGAGCCAGCCTACTTTCAGGATCCTTTCCAAGCACGCTGCCCCACCTCTGGTGATTCATCTTAGTGCCAGAAGATATACCTATCCCAACTGAGAGGCTGCCACCCAACAGCCACCTGAAACACAAGGCCACCAGAAGAGTGAACACAATCTCCTGGAAAAGCTGGCTTTTGTTTGTCAACAATATCTTGTACTTCCAGAGAAGATTAACTTTTACTGGTCAACAGTGACAGCAAAAAGAAAAAAATAGCATTTGGTAAAATATTTGCCCAATATCTTTCCAAAGATTTTTTTTCTACAAATGGAATATAAAGATATTTTTTAAGGGTAGAGTTATGTAAAACTAATTATTGAGTACATTTGTTTAAAGAAGAGGTTACAAGAACAATGTTTTAAAAAATAAATGCTTAACTGTCTGAGTAAAAGAAATATTTCTCTATTGTAACTTTATTTTTCTGGAGACAGAGTGTCACTTCATTGCTCAGGCTGGAGTGCAGCGACAGGATCTTGGCTCACTGCAACCTTTACCTCCTGGATTCAAGCGATTCTCCTACCTCAGCCTCCTGAGTAGCTGGGATTACAGGCACCTGCCACCACGTTGGCTAATTTCTGTATTTTTAGTAGAGATAGGGTTTCACCATGTTGGCCAGGCTGGTCTGAACTCCTGACCTCAAGTGATCTGCCCACCTTAGCCTCCCAAAGTGTGGGGATTACGGGCATGGGCCACCACACCCGGCCACTATTGTAACTTTAAAGGAGTAAATTTGTGAAAACCAAATATGAAACTGACTAATCTTACTATGGGGACTCCAAACAAACTTAGGCAAGAGGCCAAGGTCAGAGTACTCTTTGTTTTTGTAGTTATTGCCACTAATTTCTGCCCTAAATGCCGACTCTCTCTGAGTGCCAACTACCAATTATCTCCAAATCAAGGGAAACAACTGTCAGTTTGTAAACAAGTTCAGGCCCTACTCTACTTGCCCTAAACGGAAAAGAATGCAAAACACAGATTTTAAAAGCATGAATGATTAGCACTGTAAGGCGCCCTGGTCAGTAAAACTGAGGCCCAAACCAGAAAGCACCCATTATTTGCTCTGCTAAGCATCTACACCAGGCTTGAGGCCACTTCAAGGATTCCCTTAAGGAATTCGGTGTCAGCAAAGGCCGCCAGACTGGCCAGAATCACAAACTGTTTACGCTCCGGTCCATCAGGGCTTCTAGGCAGCTGCCTGGCATTAACCCCCACCTGGGCTCCCCCACCCGGTGGGGCGGGTGACAGTAGGGATCAGTGCTCAGCCCACGGGCGGGCAGACAGCCGGGCATGACCTTGAGCCAGGCCCCTCCCCTGACGATCGGCCAGACCGGGAATAGGAAGGCCTGGCAACTGGACCTGGGCGTCCCTCCCGGAGGCGGCCGGGGCTGAGCGCTGCCTGTGCCAGGGAGCTCCAAAACAGGGGCGGGGGCGGCTGTCCCGCCGATGGCCCCACAGGAAAGGCACTGCCCGGAAGGCGACGCTCTCACACCCCTCCCGCCCCCAGCTCTCAGAACCCTCAGCCCCCTCTAGGGGACGGAGACCCCACCACCCAGGTAAAACCTGGAGGGAACGGCGCCGGGGTCCCACACCTAGGAGGAGTGGGTGGGCCAGGGCGTGACTCTGGGGGGGCAAAGGGTAAAAAGAAGTTTTAGGCCTAAGGTCTCCACCCCAGAGTGTGACCTCGAATGGCTGATTAAGGGGGGTGACTAAAGCATTCTGGAGAACTGACACCCCACACCCCATTCCTGGGCGTAATGTGAGGGGCTCGCACACTGGGGTCCCGCTTGAGACTTGGTCTGACACCCCTCAATTCCAAGACACGGACTGACACCCCCCAATTCCAAGGCGCCAGGCTGCTGGGACCCCAGAAAGGATGTCAGGGTCCAGAGGGGGCTCGGGATCCCCAGAACACGGACGCTGGGGTTCCCAGAGCTTCAGACAGCCTTGAGCCTGTGCCTGGGGAGCCAGCGGGAACTCAGAAGCAGGGGTCCCCGTGAGGTGACGGGCTCGGGGCCGTCGGGGGAGCACACGCCCCAGGGTTACCCCGAGGGGCTCAGACCGAGGCCGGACGCCGGGGTCTCCAGGCTCCCAGCATCGCTCTCCCCAGAGTGGGCCCGGGCCCCCAGGTCTAGCGGAGCCCTAGCGGCGACCCGCGAGTCCTCGCCCGTCCTGCAGTTCCCCGCCCTGGCCCCGCCCGGCGCGGCGCCCCTCGGCCCCTACCTGTCGGTGTACCGGGCCGCCAGTCCCAGCCCGGCGCTGCGCGGCGCTTCCTCCCCGCCGCTCCTCAATGGCGCAGGCCCGCGGCGCTCAGGCTGGCCCCGACCCGACCAATCGAGCGGGCGATGCGCCGACGCCTGGCCAGCCGAGCGCCGAGCTATCGAGGAGGCGCCACTGGCGCCTGCGGCCGCTTCTGAAGTCTACCGGCCCCTCTAGGGTTCGCCGACACTGGGGCCTATTTTATAGATGCGGAAACTGAGTCCCAGAGGAGGGCAGGGTCACAAATGACTCTGCTCAGACAGCATGGGAACCCAGGATTCTTCCCACCTACGACCTGCCTTCCAGCCACGCGAGAGGTGCGATCGGCCGTTTGTCTGGCCCACGCACCCACACTCCGTTCCCCACTCAGCAGCCACAGGGGCCTGTTAATTCAGAACCTGGCCTTCTCTGCTTAAAACCGCGTCCCCGCCGTACTTCAATTAAAACCCTCCTCCTTACAGAGCTGCCAACAAGGACCCACTGGATCTGGTCCCTTCCCATTTCAGCCACTTTCTCCCCGTCTGGCTCTGCCCCAGCATCCTTCAGTTTCTGACCCAAGAACAGTGTGTGCATTTGCCGTTTTCTCTACGTAGGACGATTCCCAGGCCAGCGCTGACCAATAGAAACACAATGCAAGCCACCCTCGCCAGCCACATGGGAAATTTACATTTACTAGTTGGTACAATGTTTTAAATGAAAAAGAAGAAAATAAACTTCATTTTAATAAATTTTATTTAATCCAATGTGTTGAAAATATGATCATCTCAACATGTAGCCAAAAGAAAAAAAAATTACTAATGCAATATGTTAACTTTTTTATAGTAAAGTTTTGAAATTCGGGTATATTTTACATTTACGGCACATCCCAATACAAACTAGCCACAATTCCAGTGCTCAATAGCCTCATGTGGCCAATCCAGAGCTACAGAATAGCTCTGGATATTCATATAGCTGACTTCCTCTTGCTTCAAATATTCCACTCAGAGAGGACTTTTCCCTATATACAGTTCCATTATCGGCCGGGCACGGTGGCTCATGCCTATAATCCCAGCACTTCGGCGGGCTAAGGCGGCGGATTACTTGAGGTTAGGAGTTTGAGACCAGCCTGGCCAACATAGTGAAACCCCATCTCTACTAAAACTACAAAAATTAGCCGGGCGTGGTGGTGCACACCTGTAGTCCCAGCTGCTGAAGAGGCTGAGGCATGAGAATCACTTGAACCTGGGAGACAGAGATTGCAGTGAGCCGAGCTTGTACCTCTGCATTCCAGAGTAAGACTCCCTCTCAAAAATAAAAACAAAGTTCCATCATCCATTACGGTATTTTCTTCATGGAGCCTAATATGCCCTGTGATTATCTTATTTGTTTATACATATGTCGTTCTTTCTCCAGACTAATAGTACCTTGAAAATATATTTTATCCCTCTCACAAGTGTTTCAACACCTAGATATTGACTAGCACAGAAAAGACTCAATAAGTGTGTGTAAATGAACAACTGAACACTTCACCTTGCATTAGCACAAGAAGGGCAAGGAAACCTCAGGCTCACATAAAGTCAGAAGCTGCAGGAAGCAGGATGGCAAGGTGATAGTCATGTATTTGCCATAATAATTACCAACTCTCATGATGCTAAGCTAATGAGTATGCATGCGGGTTGACTCACTCCTGAGCAAGGCCTGGGTTCCTGTGTGGTGGGATAAATTTCTCAGAATCTGGATGCTGGGTCTCCTCTGGGGCTAATGTTTGGGAGTAAAACCTGGAACTCCACAGACAGAAGGAGGGAGAAAGGCAGCCCTTCAGAGGTGAAGGACCTTGAAGTCCAGATCACCTAACACAGACACCTGGCTATACCAGGGAAGCTTGTTGAAAATGCACATGGCCCAGGCCAGGCTCGGTGGCTCACGCCTATAATCTCAGCACTTTGGGAGGCCAAGAGGGGTGGATCACATGAGGTCAGGAGTTCAAGACTAGCCTGACCAACATGGTGAAACCCCGTCTCTACTAAAAATGCAAAATTAGCCAGGCATGGTGGCGCATGCCGGTAATCCCATCTCCTCTGGAGGCTGAGGCAGGAGAGTCTCTTGAACCTGGGAAGCAGAGGTTGCAGTGAGCCAATATTGTGCCATTGCACTCCAGTCTGAGCAACAGAGTAAGACTCTGTCTCTAAATAAATAAATAAATAAAAATGCACATGGCCAGGCATCGTGGCTCATGCCTGTAATCTCAGCACTTTGGGAGGCTGAGGTGGGTGAATCATCTGAGGTCAGGAGTTCCAGACCAGCCTGACCAACATGGAAAAACCCTGTCTCTACTAAAAGTACAAAATTAGCCAGGTGTGGTGGTGGGTGCCTGTAATCCCAGCTACTCGGGAGGCTGAGGCAGGACAATGGCTTGAACCTGGGAGGCAGAGGTTGCAGTGGGCCGAAATCTCACCATTGCCCTCCAGCTTGGGCAACAGAGTGAGATTCTGTCTAAAAAAAAAACAAAAACAAAAACAAAAAACTGCACATATCCTGGCACCATGGCTCACACATGTAATCCTGGCACTTCGGGAGGCCAAGGTGTTGGGGAATCACTTGAGGCCAGGAATCTGAGACCAGCCTGGGCAAAATAAGCAGACCCCAATCTCTACAAAAAATTAAAAATGAAAAAATTAGCTGGGCATGGTGACGCATGCCTGTACTCTCAACTACTGGGAGCAGGAGGGTGGGAGGATTGCTTGAGCCCATGAATTCAAGGTCACATTGAGCATTGATGATGCCTGTGCACTCCAACGTGGGTGACAGAGACCCTGTCTGGAAAAATAAAAAAAACCCACATGCCTGGGCACCATTCATTCAATCAGCATTACTGAAAGTCTTGGTGCCTTCAGTTTCTTATAAATGTTTAATATGCATTTACCATATAGCAATCCCAGGGCTAGAATTACCCAAGAGAAATTAAAACATATGCCCACACCAAGACTTATACATGAATGGTCATAGCAGCTTTATTCATTAAAGCCAAAACAAAACCAAAATGTCCATCAACAGGAGAGTGGATAAACGAACTATACAATTGGTGAGCAGTACTCACCAATACAAAGGGAAAAACGACTGACGCAGACACGATCTGGAGGAACCTCAAAAGTATTGGCCATGTGGAAAAAGACCACAAAGACCGCATACCATCATGATTTCATTTCTATGAAATTCCAGACAAGACAAAACTGTCAGAGGGCCTACAGGCTACAGGTGCGCTACCACACCCAATTAATTTTTGTTATTTATTTATTTATTTCTGAGACAGAGTTTGACTCTGTTGCCCAGGCTGGAGTGCAGTGGCACGATCTCAGTTCACTGTAGCCTCTGCCTCCCAGGTTCAAGCGATTCTCGTGCATCAGCCTCCCGAGTAGCTGGGATTTCTGACGTATGCCACCACGCCCGGCTAATTTTTGTATTTTTAGTAGAGACGGGGTTTTGCCATGTTGCCCAGGCTAGTCTTGAACCCCTGAGCTCAAGCATTCCTCCCACTTTGGCCTCCCAAAGTACTGGGATTACAGGCGTGAGACCCTGCTCACAGCTTTTTAAAAATTTTTAATTGATGAAGGAGGGAGGAGAAAAATAAAATAAAATAAAAATTTTTAATTAACAAATAATTGTACACATTTACAGGCTACAGTGCACTGTTTTGATATCTATTTACTATGTGGAATGATAAATCACACTAATGAACAAATCCATCAGCTAACATATTGTTTTAGGTGAAAACATTTAAAACTTACTATTTTAGCAATTCTGAAATATATGATGCATTATGTATTATAGTCACCATTCTGAGCAATAGCTCACTATAGCTTCTTTCTCTTGTCTAACTGAAGCTTTATACTCTTTGTTTTGTGGCTTTTTTTTTTTTTTTTTTGAGACAGAATCTCTCTCTGTCACCCAATCACCCAGGCTGGAGTACAGTGTCACGATCTCAGCT